GTGTAGTAATAGTCAAAAGGAAGACCGCTGACAAGTCTAGAACGAACCCAGGCTCCTCGCCTCGTACTGATGAAGGTCTTTCGCGCATGTCTGCTTAGCTCGCATGCTATGTCTCCTGCAGAGTTCCCGAGTCCTATGAAATAAATGAAAAAAAGTAGATGTAATGTTTATTTCTTCTATAGAATGGTATGTGTGATTGTTTGACAGAAAAATATCAAATTCTTAAACTTGTGACAGTTTATAAAAATACCTGCAAAGGATGCACAAACATAGCAAACAATAACATTAATTAATCGATTTTTATTCCTCTACAAGTGCCCTGGTATTTTGTCCAAACCTCAAGACTTTCTTTCAATATTTATAATAAATCTTCCATATTCGCCACTGAATTTTTCAGGAACTTTACAATCAACCATCAGTATACGTCACGCAACGGTTTAGGCTCCCTCCATGATGCCACCAGTCATATACAGGTAATGCATGAGTCACTGTGAACCCCGAACCCCACACCCCGGGACAATGTGGGGGTTAGTACGGGAAAGGTAGGAGAATTGTCTAGGAATCATGCTCCAGGGGGTAGTGGATTGGACAACTTTGGTATATTGCCTGTCCACAGGGGACATGCTATGAGTGGGGATTTGTCTCTTGAGCCTGCCATCTTAAGTTCAGCGGTAGTTGATCATCATTCAAAATGGCGTCCATCCAGCAGGTGAGTTCTTTGTCACGCAAATTCATGATATTTCGTGTGGAAATATTAACCACCATGCTAATAAATTGCTGTTTGTTTTGTAAAATAAATGTGTCTGTTCAATGCCTTTGTTTCTTTAAAAATGTCCCCAGGAAAATGTCCCCAGGGGTGGGGGGTTAGTAACTGCCAATAAGCCCCAGGGCCAGGGAATTTGTCATCAATTTTGAAAGCATCATTTTACTAATCCCCACCTTGTCACATTGACTCATGCATAACGAGGATCAATTATAATGACATATTCAATAAGTCCCGACTTATTGAACTAACTGGCTTGCTTCCCAACATCAAAATGTCTCCTAACGATTGTTAAATAATACTAAAAGACTATTTCATTAGATTTTCACGAGAAAATATAAAAGGCACAGGCGACCGCACACGGTCTTTTATATTTTTTCGGTCTTTTTTTACTGTAAACAATCCAAAACACGAAATTCTGGATCGCACAGTATCTTAGACTATATTATTGTTTAATATATCAGGAAACTACATAAAAAGGGATAATATATTAAAATCTATGAAAAGCTATACATTATCTAAAATAGAAACTTTTGATTTAAAAGGATAGTCCAGTGTAATGTTCGTACCTACAACGAGGACAACTTTGTTTTCAAAACCTTTGAAAGTCTTGTAGTGATGACTGTGTAACACATGACCTTGAAAAAYGTCCAAACCTGGAAAGTCCACCCATCGAGGAACAGTTAAATGTCCAGTGCAGACCAAGACGGCATCGAAAAGTTTCTGTTYAATACGACTGTTTCCATCGGCTGTGTTCTCGTATGTCACTTTCCATCGTCGTTCTTCTCGATGGACACCAACGATCTTACAAGAAAACCTTATATACTTGATTAAATCAAAGTGGTTTGMATACAAGCGAAAGTATTCAAGCACGTAATCATGGGTCATAAACGGAGGGAAGTCTTTAGGCATTGGAAAGTCAGAGAAGGCATTYTTCTCCTTGCTTGTATTGATAATAGTAGATTGATATATAGAGCTATGGCTCGTCTCCTCGGAGTACAACCACATTCCTCCGATATCATCGTTTTGCTCAAAACACTCAGGCTCTAAACCCTCATCTAAACAGCACTTGATAGAAGAAATGCCGGCTCCTCCAGCGCCTAGAATTGCAACCTTCATGATGATTTTGGATGCMCTGTTCTACGAAACAATATGACTGACCTCAGTCCCGGTACCATGCAGTGATGAATAGGACGCCGGCAAACCAAGATTATATTACAGAATTATATCTAAACAAACTAGATACTCCCCGGCACTTCAAAATTTCAATAAAATGAAGCACAGGTGTCGACCATAGCTAGTAAAAGTCGACCGAAGTGGATGCTCCCTTCATACCCGCTTTACACGCTTAGCTACAACTGAACTGGTGAGTGGAGACTTGAAAACAAGCTAAGCAGCCTGAACAAACACGAAACGAACCTGCTAAACTTGTCAGTCCACTAATGAAATTCTTCGTTTTCCGTGACTATACGTCACAGCGTCCATCTTGGAGAAACTTTAACAAAGGATTTCTCATTAGTATCTATATATTTTTGCGAATCATTGCACTGTAGTCTCCTCGCAGCCGTGTTTAGTTTCGGTCACGCGTCACGCAACCTCTCCACAGCCTGTGGAGAGGCTCACAGCCTGTGGAGAGGCTGCGTGACGCGTGACCGAAACTAAACATGGCTGCGAGGACTGTCGGCTGCGAGGAGACTATTGCACTGAAGCTAACAATAGGAACAATGTTAACGTTTTAAGCTTTAACTTTTAAGCAATGCAGACTTGGCTAACAAAATAGAGGCAAGAAGGCACTGAGAGAATAATTAAGCGTCTTGCCTCCTAAGTA